GACAATAACTCTGAAGATTTGTGCTATTACTTTTCTAAACAGTCAGATGTATGATTTTTGCCTGACAGTTCAATAAAACAACATGCATTCAGATGGGCCCCACATATTTCTAAGGACCAGATTATCATACAGACTTGGGCTCTTTTGACCTGGGTAGTAAGCAGGGCCAGGCCAAGCAGCTGGATAGCAACACACTACGAACTGCTCAGAACACCTTAGCAACCATATGGCAGTGCCACATGGCAAGCAAGCCCCCCACACACTGTAAACATATGGATTCTCATCTACATGGCTTTCACAAAACCAAGAAAGGAAAAAAAAGGAGCACACAAAAGCAGCATGAATCTGTTGTCCTGATGTTTTAGTTTTGTTCTCATGATTTGCCTGTTAAATAAAAGTGGGGCATTGATAGAGTGAGTGGACATTCACAATAGAAAATGGGCGGCGCCGTCGAGCCTTATTCATACACCTGACATATGACTCCTGCATTTAAATAGCAAGAGGGAGTTCCAGTGTGCTGTGAAAACAAAGCGGCCCTCTCTCTGTTTGGCTGTTTAACCAGAGTTTTTGTTGGGTTTGTTCACTATTTCCAAGCACAGGCCCTCTCTGAGGTGAATATGAAGTGATCTGCTGTGTGTAGCCTATAAGTGAGGTTGAAGAAACTGTAGTAAACGAAGATGTGACCTTCCACAATATCATAAAGGGCAGATTAATCTGAGTATGATTAGTAATCTAATCTCTGTGGCAGTCACTCATAATGTCTAAAACACACAATCTTTCTTTTCCGCATTGTTTAAACTGAATTAGAATAGACTCCCTCTAAACAAAGATGGACACTGTTCCTGTTATAACTGGCAGGCGTATTTCCAAGTTGGTCACAAGAAGGACATGCAGCTGACTGACATTCTTCTTGGGATGGCTACTTCCTGAGAAACAGTCTGCCGCGGCTTGAGCTCCATTTCAGATGCGACTGCAGAGAGAGAGGAATTCCCTGGGCTGGGAAGTATTGTGAAGTCCCTGGTCAGGACGACCTCGGAACAAAGGCCACCCAATCCCTGAAACAGGTGGCCCCTTCGGCTGGCCGTGAATGAAAGGAACATTTGTGCGCGCCTCTAGAAACTCAACACTTTTCACAGGGCTCTCTTTTCAAGTTATCGCCCGCTCTCTCTTTCTGTCTTTGTGTTTCTGAATATATACAATGACTTATTTCCAACTAACTGATCCAATAATTTTTTTTTCTAATTAAATTTGTAAGTCTCAAAATATCTATCTATCTATCTATCTATCTATAGTATCTGTCTGTCTACACACGAAACTACATATTATGTACTTATACATTATTCACTAAGTACTACAGTATTATTTTGAGCTGTATTCTATTCAAGACAATACAAATAATACAAACAAAAGTAATGGTTCAAACATGTGCACTACACAAAAACTATATATTATGCGCGCACACACATACATGTGTATTTCACTAGTTATGTATAGTTAAAGGGTTAGTTCACCCAAAAATGAAAATTCTGTCATTAATTACTCACCCTGGTGTTGTTCCAAACCCGTAAGACCTTCGTTCATCTTCGGAACACAATTTAAGATATTTTTCATGAAATATGAGGGCTCTCTGACCCTCCCATAGACAGCAAGGTAACTACCACGTTCAAGGTCCAGAAAAGTACCAAGATGATCGACAAAGTAGTCCGTGTGACATCAGTGGTCCAACTGTAGAGTTATGAAGCTACGAGAATACTTTTTTGCGCAAAGAAAACAAAAATAACGACTTTATTCCACATTTTCGTCTCTACTGCGTCGTTTGTGGACGCGCGGTCACGACAGTATCATGACGCGACCGTGTGGCGGCGCTGACCCAGATCCGGCATAATGACGTCATCACGCCGGATCTGGGTCAGCGCGGGCGCCGCCACACGCTCTCGTCATGATACTGTCGCGTAATGATATCTTGTAGGGCTGCACGATAAATCGCATGCGATATTTAACACGCATCTTGTCAGTAAAGCCATTCTGTAATCAGCGGTAAATCTCCATCACGTGCGGGTAAAGAACCGAGTTTACTGACAAGATGCGCGTTAAATATCGCGTGCGATTTATCGTGCAGCCCTAATATCTTGGTACTTTTCTGGTCCTTGAACGTGGTAGTTACCTTGCTGTCTATGGTAGGGTCAGAGAGCCCTCATATTTCATCAAAAATATCTTAAATATAGTTGCGTTCTCTTCCCTCAGTCGTACTACAGTATTCTTCAGAGCTGTATTTTTCCATGTATAGTTTAATACTCAGAAGTATTAATCTATATATGAAAAAATACTAACTAAAATAATATTGTAGAACAATATACAAAATGAATTGTGCATATCACTTATAGGCCTGGTTTCATAGACAGGGCTTAGGTTAAAGCCAGGATTAGGCCATAGTTCAAATAGGACATTTAAGTACCTTTTATTAACACCCCTTAGAAAATAACATTACTCGTGTGCATCTTGAGACAAAACGTATGTCAGTGCAAGTTTCTTTCAGGTAAAACAGTCCAGGCATGCATTTTAGTCTGGGATTAGGCTTAAGCCTTGTCTGTGAAACCGGGGGATATTCTGCTAAATACTGACACTGACTTAAGTATACTGGGATGGCAAAGAGATGATGGATGCAGTGTGAAGCTCTGTCAGATTGTGAGCATAGCAGCCGCTCCTCTTGCGTCCGCATTGTGGGGCAAAATATCGCGTGCGATTTATCGTGCAGCCCTAATATCTTGGTACTTTTCTGGTCCTTGAACGTGGTAGTTACCTTGCTGTCTATGGTAGGGTCAGAGAGCCCTCATATTTCATCAAAAATATCTTAAATATAGTTGCGTTCTCTTCCCTCAGTCGTACTACAGTATTCTTCAGAGCTGTATTTTTCCATGTATAGTTTAATACTCAGAAGTATTAATCTATATATGAAAAAATACTAACTAAAATAATATTGTAGAACAATATACAAAATGAATTGTGCATATCACTTATAGGCCTGGTTTCATAGACAGGGCTTAGGTTAAAGCCAGGATTAGGCCATAGTTCAATTAGGACATTTAAGTACCTTTTATTAACACCCCTTAGAAAATAACATTACTCGTGTGCATCTTGAGACAAAACATATGTCAGTGCAAGTTTCTTTCAGGTAAAACAGCCCAGGCATGCATTTTAGTCTGGGATTAGGCTTAAGCCTTGTCTGTGAAACCGGGGGATATTCTGCTAAATACTGACACTGATTTAAGTATACTGGGATGGCAAAGAGATGATGGATGCAGTGTGAAGCTCTGTCAGATTGTGAGCATAGCAGCCGCTCCTCTTGCGTCCGCATTGTGGGGCACAGTGTGTGTGCGCAGACATTCCACAGCCACTGCCAATCGCATGCCAAAACTGCCCGACCCTGCTTTGAACCAGGCCAACATGTGACTCCAGTAATCCAGACAAACAGTTGTATTTGCGCGCGCGCGAGAGAGAGAGAGAGAGAGAGAGAGAGAGAAAGAGAAAGAGAGAGAGAGCATGCAAAAGTTTGGGGGATTTTGTCCATAGACAAAATTATGTAATTATCCTAGATTATAGTTGTCCATGCAACTGATGCAACTGTTGACAGACGTATATAACTGAAAAGTATGATCTATTGGTCAAGAATAATATTATAATGTAGACAGACTGTCTGGAGTATCTATACATAAAATATGGCTTTATTTTTGTCTTATGATGTTAGGAAAACCTATATGGGATAAGCCATAAATAACAAATATTTAAAAGTGTCCAGTTATGTAGATTTTAGGTTTCTTTGTATTGTCTGGTCAAACTGTGTCACAGGGTGAGATATAAACAACAGCACTGTCTATTTTTTTGTGTTTAGAGACAAAACGTCCGAACAAGACGTTCCATCCCACACCATTGCTCCATTTGTTCTGGTAGCATATGACAACTAAACAAAGATGGGAGGAGAACATACATCCCCACGGGCCCAGAGTCTGTTGACTTTAACCCTCATCTTCTGTTTGAGGTCTGATCATAAAACATATTATATTTGAAGTATTGGGTTGATACTTCTTGACTTTTACTAGAACTGATTATAAACAAACTTTCAGTTTTCAACATGCATCAGCAAGTGTTCCAGAGACCCCAAGTAAACATGAATAAATTGCTATGAATTTGTACTAAGATTCTCTTGTTTGTGTACACAATGTAGTGGTTCAGTTTCAGTATTTATTTTATTTTATTTTTTATTTTATTTTAAAGTGTGTGTGTTTTTTTAAAAATTTCAGTTCCCAAACTGCCTCCAAACTGAAAACTTGCTATATATTGAATAAAAAAAAACAAACAAACAAAATGTTATATGTTAGCTAAAATAAGTTTTAAAATATAAAACTTATTTTATTTCAGCCAGTTGCCAAAGCAACATTTCTAATTTTTATTGAGTTTAATGTGATGTAGTAAAATGAAAATCAAACTAAAAAAATAAATAAATAAAAACTATAAGACATATTTAAAAAAAACAAACAAACATAATATAAATACAAAATAAAACACAACAAAATTTGCTAAAATGTTAAGTGAAATTAAAATAAAAACTGGAAATATGAAAATAAAAGCTAATTCAAATTATTAGTGAAAACTATAATGGTATCTCTGATACTAAGATTGAATGGATAACAACAATCACATTTCTAAAAAGTCTGTCTACTTTGTTGCATTACAGTAGGTTAATGCTTCAATAATATAAAACAATATTGTTCACAAAAACGCTAGCTGTGTTAAGAAACTGAGGAGTGAAAAATACAAATAAAATTGTAGAGTTTTTAAAAAAAAAAGGGACTTAATAGAGATAACAGATTGTTTGGAGAAAATAGTATTTGCAACAACGCAAATCATTGGCTGAAATTTAAACGTGAAGTGTTAGGAAGAATCTGATTGGATGTAGAGAAAGGGTGGCGTTTCCAAGGATCCCGAGTGCGCTCGAGTCCCGATCCTGCGAGTGCCGTACGCGCGTGTGCGTCGAGTCGGACCGGGGAATAGGAAAACTTTCGTGCTGTTTTTATCCATCAAAAACCCTCGGATTGAGGACAAGACACGGACCTATCCTGTCGCTTAATGGGTGTTTTGGTGCGCAATGGACGTTTTCAGCGTTACATCAGCGCTTTATTCCCAACAGGTAGGTGCTGGCTAGCCATTACAATACCAGTTAGCCTTTACTTTGTTTTGCTAGCTACTCATGCTAACCAGAGCCCAAGGTTTTATATATCACTCAAAACGCTCCAACTTCGCCCAACACGCGACGGGCTTCAAGTGTTTGCTCGTCAAAACGAAGTTTGACACTTTTAAAGTGTATGCAAATACAGTCGGTTGTGTTTGAGTACACGACATCAATTCACCGCAGAAAGTTTCCAGGGCTGTTAGCCGCTCACACACCAGTTGAGTCTGACCACACCACACCAAACCTCTCCGCTTACAATCCGATTGGGCTCTCTGTCCCGGGTTATCATTTTATTTTAACAAGATTAAACTTGTCTAATTAGCGCGTGTGTTTGATACCTCACAGTGTGATACCTCTGAGATTTTAATGAAGAAAATGTGAGGCACACGGGAGAGACTCACGTTTTGCTGGAATAAGCGATCTTTAGGGCGTTTATATTGGCCGAAGTCTATTGGTTATTACGGTTAACGGGGTTACTACGAGGCACCTGTCAAAAAAGAAACCAGAACAAATTGGAAACCGCGTCAAAACGTGTTTAGATATCTGAATGTGTGCAGAGAACTGTGAAATTGATTGCAAATAGGGATATGCCGGTATCAAATTTTCATGTTGCGATTAATTGCTAATGCTTTTATTACGGTATACGGTATTATCACGATATTGAAATTAAGTTAAAAAAAGTGCTGTCATAATACAGTATCCAGAGCATCTCTCACATGTTCCGCCATGTGCTTCTGGTCCGCTCTTGTTTACATCAGAGTGCGCACGTCTTTCACGCAGCATACAGCCGTGTTGTGCATTTTGACCAGTTTATGGGAAAATTATTCTTAAAATGCATTCAAAATTCTGAATAATTTGTAATATATAATTATTCACGGTATTTAGAAGTGCCCACGATAACAATATCGTGCATATTCATTACCGTGATATATCGCATTACCGAATACCGGCACAAGTCTAATTGCAAATGTAATGTAATTTCGCTCTGAAGATTAAAAATGGATGTTTCACTTAAAACAAACAAACAAACTCTAGTAAAACCAAAGTGTTGTCAAAAATATAAACATAAAATTAAAGTGATATGATAATGTTGAATAGAATTGGTTTTTAGTAAATAAATGTTTCTGAAGGTTTTTGCAGTTTATTAATATAGGCTTTTTTGTTTGATCCTCCAGGGTCTTTTACCCAAACATGTGGAAAACCAAATCCAGTTGGATGTTGAAGTGTGATCTTGGAGCTGATTTGAGGAGATTTCTCTAGATGTGGGCTGCAGTGGTGAAATGATGGCGACACATTGGAGGAATTCAGGCGATGAGGAGGAGCTGGATTATGCCGGCGCATCTCCGCACTGCGAGGTGAGACCCGTGGTTTATCCTACTGGATGCTTATAGAAGGAAAAGCCCCGCTGGTGGGTCACAATGGAGTTGGATCATTGATCATCATGACCTTTTGGGTTACCAGCCCAGATCTGTGACTCTAACCAATAGGCTAATACCAATTGTGGGCCGACTGAGATGATCTGTCATCCATAAATGTTTCTAACCAGTCATGAATTATTGTTTCTATTGAAAATTGTGTAAGTTTGAATCCAGCACATGTCATTTTCAATGAACCGGTCTCTTTCACTGATTAAAACTCAACTTGTCACAAATACAGAAAGACATTTTTTGGGCATATTTTCATTTTTGGTGGCTTAATATGAGCAATATTTCACACTAATGTTGGAACGTGTGGCACTGGTGTGCAGGAGAAAATCTTTATACTTTATACTTTTGATCAGTGCAATAAGTCACATATCGATGCTTTGCCAAAGCAATTGTGTAAGACACAACAGAGGTCTTTTATGTTATTATAAGAAGTGTAAATATATTTCCGGTTCATTATAGGGCCTTTCGCACCGCAGGAACCTTTTCATAGTACCAGAACTAATTGTGGAACTACCCACTTTTTGGCGTTTTCGCACCGCCGGAACTGGGAGCGATTTTAGTACCGGACTGCCTTTTTCGAGAACCAAATTAGCTCCTACTCCGGAGCAGGGTTTAACCAGCACAACTGGTACTAATCATGACGTAAGTAGACATTGATTGGCCAAACGCGTATGAAAACGCCCTCACCCGCCATGATTTAAAATGCCGTGTAAACATACTGTAAACATTGTCAACTTATTTCGCAAGTATGGAGAACAGCGATAGATGGACGGACGCTGAAGTGCAGGCACTTGTAGCAAATGTAGCACTGCCAGTTGTCGTTGGAGATTCTTAGTCCTCCTTTCCGTTCTTTCAATCGCTTTACGTATACGGCGACTTTCCATCTCCATTATTGTAAAACCCGCGAGACACAACAAAAACACAGCTCCGATCACAGCGTCCTCCATCCTCCTCTTGTTATTGTTGTTTTTCTTTGTTTTCGTTGTTGAACGCCGCGCACAAATGACGTCGCTGTCGACCGGTTCTTAGTACACACTGTCGGTGCGAATGCAACCCTTTAAATAGTACTGGGAAATAGTTCGCGCAAAATCGTCCCAGTACTTTAGTACTGTCCATTTAGTTCTGGAACTAAAGCGGTGCGAAAGGCCCTTATGATACTGTAGTGGGACGTGTTTGACCGCCAAAGTGGAATTAATGGGAAAACATGTTCTGACTAACAGAATTCAGTTGGAAGAATCTCGGCAGTAACATGTTGTTCAGGTCACAAGATTGAATTAATTTGTGCTGTTGTGCGGCCTGTTGTTGTTTTCACTGACTGTGTGGAATGCAGTGTACAAGCTGTGCTGTTTCCTTTTCCAGATCTGCTCATTATTCCTGAATGCCAGCTGTGAATGTAATGCCTTACCCCTGCTCTCATATTGAATAATTTTTTTTTCAAAGTTCTCTTATGTGGTATTATCCATACATTGCAGTAGCTACTTTGTTTGATGGTTGTATCGCTGAGGTTTAGTTTATAGCCACGTGTGTTGAACCTGTTTTCTAATGTGGCGAGTTTGCATATCAAAATCAGTCTTTTGTCCAGACTGGTGTTTGTCTAGAAAGTGTTTTGATTCTTGATGAACTCTGTTGTTGTCCTGCAAACATGACCCATGTGTTGCTTGTGCATTTTGGCACAAAACCGGTCTGGCTTTTTCCACTTTTTCACAGCCTGGAGATTATTTGCTGTCTGAAATTCCTTTGTTGTTCAAGAGAAACATGAAGGACTGTAATCTGCAATCATAAGTGTGTGCTGCAGAAGAAATGAAATTCTTTGGATGCTCTTGAAGGAAATTCCCTGGCAGGTGAGGAGCATCCGTTTATCTGCGCGTGAGCTGTGGGGGAAGCGCACACAGTCAGATCGCAGTGCATCTACAACGCAAACAGCTGGTGTGAAACCTCTTCCTTTAAACACATGGTCAATGTGGGGACTAGGGCTGGGTATCGATTCAGATGTTCCAATTCGATTCGATTTCGATTTTCAAGCTCTCAATTCGATTCGATTTCGATTTTCTATTCGATTTCGATTTTCGATTCGATTTGACTATATGAATGAATATAGATTTAATACAAATCCTACATTTATAAAAAATGAACAGTGAACATAAGATTACAAATGGTTAATTAATAGGAAATTAAGAGCCACAAACCTGTATATTAAACACTTTTTATTTTAGGTACACTTGGGTACAATAAAACAAAACCCCACTATATATTTCAAATGCATACAATGAATAGACAGAATTTTGATGCAAGATGAAAAACTGATGCTGAAAATTGGACAAGTCAGAACAGTCGCATGCCTTGATCAAACAGGATCAGGTTATTTTATGTTTAAGACAAAACAAACATAAAATCTCACAGAATTAGCTGTAACATGGAGGCTGCAAGCCTATGAACGGTGTAGGAAAACTAATACTGGCTTTTGGGTGATAGTTCAAAAAAAGTTACTTCTGAATTACGGGTGTTAATTCAACACCACTAATTGTACAGTGTAATTGCCATAATCATTATGACAGTCGTCTACACCATAATCATCATTACCAAAGTAAATAACTGTTTTATAGGCAGCCTCTAACATTTAAGTACACTTGAAAAGGAACGTAGATGAACTCCTTACATTTAAATGCAGCTGGTCCGTCCAGTGGCCGATGATTCTGTACTCAGCCGACCTGTTTGTTATCTGATATTGGTAGATGTCGTAGCGTCCAGGGGCGTCTCCGTTTTCATTAAACACAACTAGGGTCTTTGCACTTCCTGTCCGAAGAGATAAAACAACATTATGATTTTCGTATCTTGTGAAATCCTGAATCAGACGATCTCAGCTACATAATCTCCCATGGCCAAGATGAATCAGTAAACACATCAGACATTACTTGAGACATAAAAACATCAGGATTTCTGCATAAACAAAGTATGCATAATGCTCCAGATCCATTCAACCAACAAGATGAATAAATTACAATCAGATAAGCTAAAAATGAAATTAGTGTCATATTCTGAACAAAACAATTGAGTGAACTGCTAACAAAGCATAAGAGGATCTTCTTCATTTGTTATCTGTTATTATACAAAATCATTCCATCATTATGAAGCCCTGGTGAGTTTTCTCGGGCCTACAGGAATCGTCTCAGATTAGCAATTTCAGTGGCATACAGAGCAGCTCGTGAGGAGGGAGAGTTTGTATCAAATGAGTGCCTCTCGAGATAGGGAATCATGCATTATTAAAACACCTGCATACAGTCAGCCGTGGAGTGGGCCTGGAGGATTCCACAGGAAATGCTGCTTGCTGTTACGACACACCTCGAGCAACAAAATAATCAGATTACTCATTCAGAGTCGCACGCTCTGCACACACATTATCTTTTAAGATGCGACCGCATGCCAGGCAACGATTCCAAACGAGCCAATTCACTGACAAGGTTAGAGCTCACAAATAAAGTTAAAGGACTGATCAAATAAAGTCAATAGCACAAGTTACTTTAGGTGACATTTTTGCGGACTGTGGCATGGTGATGGTCAATTTTCACAATTTAGTGTACTGTATTTGTATGACAAAAACTGCATTTTTACAGCCGAAAAGAAAAAAATTATTACTACTAACTATGAGTGTTTATTTTAGTTTTTCTTATCAAAAAAACTAATCAAAACTATTTAAAAAAACTAAACAAACACCACAACAAAAACAGAAGACAAAAACAAAACACACCAAAAAAACAAACAAACAAAAAAACAAAAGCAAAACACAATACAACAAAACAAAACATAACACAATAAAACACAAAACAAACACCACGAAAAAAAGCAAGCACCACTACAACAACATCAACAACAACAACAACAACAACACAACACAATACGAAACAAAAGCAGACAACACAAAAAACAGACCACAACAAAACAAAGAGCAAAACAACCCAATATAATACGAAACACAACAAAACAAGCACCGCAACCACGGCCCCGTTCTTCGTACGTTGCTAACTCAGTTAGCTGGATTTGATTGTTGATGATTTGGCATGATCTTGGATTGTTTGGTTCTTCCAAGCTCATCCCAGATTTGCTGTCATAGCAACAGGTCCGTAAGCTCAAACCTGCTCGGGAGCAGGCTTATTTCATATAAACAGGATTAGATCGCATCTTTTTAAGCAGAACTGATACTTAAAATCTGTCCGCTACCACCACTACTTTGTTACAAGAGTATCCTACTGATCCAGGGACAATAATTTAAAATAATAATCATTTAAAAATTAATTTAAAGATAATATAATAATGTTGTGTAGTCTTTAATACTGCAGACACAGCCAGTTTTACTCACTGAAAGATTTGTTCATCATAAAATTATTACTTCATAATTGTATTCGAGTCTTACACACATGCTATTCAGATAATGTAGAGTCGTGCATTAATTTGAGTGGTGACAGCTATTATGTTTGCGGAAATAAATATTGAAAAAAATCGATTCGTGGCCATTGAGAATCGATATTGAATCGACCACATTTTAAAAAACGATATATCGAAAAATCGATTTTTTTGCCCGGCCCTAGTGGGGACCATCTGAATGCTGACTCTGTCAAATAATATGTGCAATATTTCTTTTGCTGTGTAGTTGGGTACTATGGCTTTCACATTTCAGCATGGGTTGTGCTGACTTGGCCTTGAATAGGAAGGTTTGTTTAGTTTTTCTGTAAGATAAGTAGTAACACTGACCATCTTTTCTCCTGCTCTCAGTTTGAGCCGTGAGACATGGTCTGGATCTTATCCTGCGACTGTGAATGTGGTCACTGATTTGGTTTCGTTTTTCGTTTCGGTTTGTTTTGCTCAAATAAGCAGGGTTTTCCCATTTTAAAAGAAAGTGAAGTGGGCTAAATGGGAAAAGGTAATCGGGTGGT